TCAGCAAAGTATGCAAAGTCAAAAACAAACACACATTGAAGGGTACACACTTCACCACAGCACACAAGACAATTAAAATGCAATCTGAATGACAATCAAAGGCTTTTTTCTGTTTTCACTGACAAAACGGGGAGCAAACATTACGTTTTATGACATACAGCCCAACTTTTATTTTCGAGCGAAGATTATTTTCATATGCTGTCGGATCTGGGAGCCATAAAATGCCGATTTATTGTTTTTTAATTGAAAGCAATAAAAATGTTCAAAAGCGACAACAGACAAATCAGCAACAACAATAACCGCCTGTTGACGCTGTGTGGGCGTTATGGGTGTGAATTGTAAGCTGAAAATACCTGAACCTTGGAATGGAATCGAGAATTGGAGGAGATACAAAAGTCACAAAAGCGTGGATCGAAATAATTACAATTGTATTGTTGGTAATGACATCAGTCAGTCAGTTTCTCACTATTCAATTGAATCCAATTCAAGTCAACTCAAATTATTTATGGCAACAAATTTTTTATTTTTTTTTGCCTGTACCACAAGTATTCGGTATTCAATTTGCCATAAATTGTTATTGAAATTTAAATTATATAATGTACAGCTGAAAAGCAGCAACAAACAATTTCACGGTATTCATTTTGATGTTCAAAGGTTCTATTTCAGTTGTCACAGGTATTCAATTCGTTCTCAGTGATTCGGCTTTTCAACTAATACTCATGCAACGAATCTTAAATGAATAGAGATATGCATTTGCTTTTGACTAAATTTCTTTGTATTAATCGAGACCTTTTAACGATACTTTGCTGGCAAAACCGGTTAAACGCAGAATTTGTTAAAAGCAGATTAGTTTATTTTAATTTGTTTATTCAGATGACTGTTGTCATAAATTTGACCTTCGCATTAAAGTCGGAAGCAAGAGAAATTTGGTGACTAACTTTAAAATGTAAATTTATATTGATTTGCGGGTCTCTTCGTAGCTTTTCGTGTTGCTATTGTTACTGCTACGAATCTTAACAGAGCGTTTGCCTCACCAGACTGATACCACCATACTCTTTTAATTTTGGTAGTTATCATAAACTAACTTAAAACCAAAACAAGTCTTCGCGTATACTTGAAAAATCCCATACATAGTATCGCTAAATACTTATACATTTGAATATGCGAAATTGAAATAACCTAATCGATTTATATGTATAAATTTTCTACTCTCCATCTTCTATGTTGTTTTGATACTGAAGAATTATTTACATATATTTAAAAGGCACCGTCTTTTTAATTTAATAGAATTGTTAGGTAAACAAATAAAACTAGAGTTCTTAATTGAATAAAGATCATACTGATTTATAATGATAATGATGGGAGAATACTTTAGTCGAGAGAGCTATACACAGAAAATGCTTGTTATTGCAAGCGTTTAATAAATTTTAATATACGATTATCGTCATTTTCTTTTAACCGATTATTGTGATATTTTAACAGATAACTGATGATCAAGGTTATGATAAGGAATATTTCTACCAAATTGATAATAATTAAAAAGCTACATTTTTAAAATAGTATCATTTATTACTAACGGGAAACGATTTGTATCGGTTTATTATTGAAAGATTTTCAATCGCAATGTCAATAGTTAATATATAACTATCATATAAGTTTTCCATATTTATTCGTTAGGAATGAAGTTTTTTATTAGTGAACTCGTCCATTTCACAACTTTTTTTGTTATTAAAAGTTATCCTTTCTGAACTTGTGGCAACTTTATTTCAAAAGAAGACACGTATCAATAAAATAACTTGCGAATAATATCAGTGAACAAAAATTGAGTGAAAGACTTTTCCCAGAATCCGAATAGAATATAACAATTTCATGTAGCAGCCGAAAGCAATTTAAAAAGAACTTTGAAAACAAACAGCAATGGCAAAAAAGTGAAGAAATATAAATCCGAAAATATTTCCTAGTAAGCAAAAAATGCAGCTTCAACTCCAATTGCAATTGCAAATGCTGGAGGGGAGACAACGAAATTACGGTAATTGACCCTGAAAATGATGCTGCTCTATGCTGGAATGCTGATGATACAGTCTCCTCTAGTCTTCAAGTCATCAGTTTGCTGCTGCTGTGATGAGGCAGCAGTTTGTCATGGCTTAGTACATTTCATTTAATTGCCTCCGGCAAAGACATCTGCTGCTTGCCAGTTTCTGGAGAGCAAAGTGGTCGGTTGGCGAAACGTCATAAGCTCATTTAAGCTGTCTCTAAGCTCAATTAATGCAAATAATGGAATTTCATTTAATTAGCAAATGACACGCCAAAAACATTTCTCTACAGCTCCGCACCCACAAAGTGTATTAATTAATTGATGAGCAGCCATTGGAAATTGCTACTGGACCCTTGAAAGTACAACTCAATGGCAGCTTGCATTGAGTGAGGACTTTTTTACGTGCAATGTCATAGGCCATTAGCTGGAAACGTGGAGTCCTTGTCCTGGCTGGCTACGCACTTTACAGTTGGCCACACTTGTGGGTCACATTCAACAGATTGTCCGCCCCCAAATCCCGTCACTTGCAACGAGCTTGCAGCGCCGCGAAACGTCGTTCAATAAATATGAGTGTGCGTGTGGCATGTGTGTATGCATGTGTGTGTTTAGGTGGCTCACACTAATAAAATAAGCCAGCAATTAGTTTGCACAAGCAGTTGCCCTCATTTATGTGGCAATTAAACAGCTTTTAGTGCGGGTAACGTGCCACAAACTGTTGTTGCACCTGTGTATATAAGCAATATACATATTTCTGACACACAGCAGCCACAATCCTGGCAACCTTGGAAATCACTGTGGAATGTAATTACAAAATGCGCTAACTTATTGATGATTATGGCATGTTGATTGGAATTTTAACGAGTTGTCCCCACAATCCAATGTTCAAGTGTGCATATTTCAGCTTAAGAGATTATATTTTTTTCTTATATAAATAACATTAATTAAAATTATGTTTATCTCAGACTTGACCAATATTTACTTTCCCTTTATTAATTAAGTTGAGTTTGTCAGACGGCTTAACCAGGCTCAATTGATTACTTTAGCCGCACGCTGCGTCCTTAAGGCAAACCTTGTACCAGAAACAAATCGACTCAGGTCTTTTCAAACAGTATTTGTTGAAAAAAAAACCGCTTCATATTTTCTGCAGATATTGGATTTACATCGCCTATCTGCTATCCGCACAACTGACCTCTTTTGTTCCTCTCAAATCATGCCTAGATAATTGTGTTTGGGTTGTATTCAAATTGGTTATGAGTTGTCACCGCGCTTCGCTTGATTTTGATGGTCTGACATAGATGTTGACATGGATTGATAACGTGTCCTTTGAATCATCATCAAAGTTCTGATCAGCTCTCATGCTTGCGCGACTGCCATTTCATTGCGTCAACCCATTTGCTTCAAGATGGCATCAGCTGCCGTTCCATTGCCAATTTCTGCTTTGAATTACCATATTCTAATTATATGTGAAATATTTCAAGTGAAGCAAATGACAATTAAATTATATTTCATCCAAATGTTAGTGAAAAAATGACATTATAATATTTTAAAGCATGAATACACCCGAAAAGTACTTAATATTTAACAGAACTAGAAAGAATGAGTATATTAGGCACGCAGAAGATTCCAAAAGTTAAGAGTATAAAAATATGCACAATTGGAGAGTTTAGGTCGGATATGTTGGTAGAATAAAATGATTTTTTAAATTAAATAACTAATAAAACTTCAACTTAAACAAACCACAATACACAAGACACAATACTTAAATAATTTAATTTTGATATTTTCAACAATGATGATCTGAGTTACCAAATCATGTGTTCATCAGGCAAATCTTGTAGGTGAAAGTATTAATTAATCATTTACTTAATTTTTCATGGTTTTCGCATATTATTTAATTTTATAAATCTTACGATTTAAGTCGATTCGAACCCGCAACCCTCTTTTCGTACACAAAAATTAAGTGAATTTTTCTATCTTAAGATATATTTATTTCGTGTATTTAGAAATTATTTCATGACAACAAGGATAAATTTATAGTTTGTATTGCGATTTTCATTTTAGGGAGATTTTCCAAAACACAGGATGAATATTTCTGCTAAATGCTTTTGTGAATGCAAAAACACACTTATGGGGCAAATGTGTCAAATTTAAGTCAGCAATTGTTCATTAACTGTAAATATACTTGATTTATTACACAATCGATTGTCAATCAAAGAGACTTATAGCTTTTCGTGATATTGCAATGAAATGCCAATACTTCGATCAGGTATCCACAAATTGCACATGAGTATCAAAACGTTAATCACTTACTCGCAGGCAATCAATAACTGCACGAACGCCGCTATGCTAATGGATAATTGCAAAAGTCAGGTTGAATGCCGATCCAGATGTGGAATAAAGTCGAGCCGCCATCAATCACCGCTTCGATTTGGCGACTAGCTTGGCACCAGTTCCTATGCTCGACTGTAGGCCCAGTCAGTCATAGGTGGGTGTAATGCATACATGCAGTGTATGCAAAATGGTTAGGCCACAAATTGCATTTTCGCACAAAACTGACAAATGACGCTGAGGCGCAGACTTGTGGAAGCGTTTGCTCTGGAACTATCTGTGCTGTGGTGTGTTTTGTTGTGTTGTGTTATGATGACGGCCTTACTAATTGATTTTGAGTCAGTTGGCACGTTTTCCGTGCAGTTCATTAGCAGAGTTGATCAGGGCTTGGCCTGACAATAGGTCTAGGAAAACAAAGTTCGCAAACTGGCAACTTGGCAATCGTTGGCACCTACGACGTGTGCTGTTTTATAATACTCTGCGACAAGACAAGCACGGGGATGGCCTACAATATAACATTAAAGGTGGCCAGTGCAGCTCGAGGTGGGCTTTGGACCATTGGTTTAAGAAAAGTTGCAAATTCTTTGACTAATTTTCCGTTGCATTTGTATCGTTTTTTTCTTCTTTCTCATTGCAGATGAGCGACAGCACATACAGAAGAAAACTTTTACGAAATGGATCAATTCACATCTTAGCAACACCCAGTGCACCCCAGTGAGCGATCTGTTCTTGGACCTGCGAGATGGACACCGTTTGCTGGCATTACTCAGCACCCTAACACACACACAGCTGGTGAGTTGATCAGTTATCCTAACTTGTAAGAGATTTATTCATGTAAGGGACGAACTTAAAACTAGAAGAAAATACGATTATAAATTATATCGATGTACATACAAACTATACAGCTACATTTATTATTATTTAATTTTTTTTTTTTTTAATATATCGCTAAAATTAAGATACACAAATCATGCTTATTTTGCAATTACTACATTTAGTAATATGTGTTAAACTAAAATATTTTCTCCTACGGAGCAGCTTGAAGTATTTTTCTTTTATATCAATGCGTATGTAAAGTGGAATCTGAGCTAAGACACTTAAGTGCTGGGTAAAGGGTAGCTTGTATATCCTGTTTGGGCTTATACAAATATTCAAGGGATGTCAAATCGCTTTAGGCCAGAGTTTACACAAGCATTAGGTTCTTCGTTGTTCCCGGGCAAAGGGATTGCTGCTCGATATGTATTTATAGAAAGTCTTTCATTTTAAAATTGTGTATACCCTGAAAAAATTGAAAATGCGAAAGAAGGTATAATGAAGTTGTGGAAAAGTATGTAACAGGCGGATGGAATCATTTCCGTAGAAATATAAATAACATAAGCAAGATAATGCAAATCTTAGAAATAAATAAATAAAATTAAATTAATAAATAATATATTCTTGATCATCCGACTCCATTTAGCCAGAAACTAAAACAATAAATGAATATTAAATATCGTCAACCAAGAATATTTAATCGAAAACGGTCACCGTGTTACTAATATCGTAAATATCGATTTGCGATATTCCTAAAAGATTAACCTGTAACATTCCAACTGATCTTATTATATATTTTAGCAAGGATTGGGGAAACCCAGAAAAAAACCTGATCAGAAAGAAAATAGTTAATCGTTGACAGCTAGCAATAAGGAAAGTGAGTAAGCGTTAAGATTTGTGAAAAATATTAAGATAAATAGTAAGAGAGAAAATATCACAGAGATTTCTCGGAGATATTTTAGCATTGAAAATTTGATCAAAGGAAGAGAGAGTTGAAAAGAAGTGTGCAAAAGGATAATCTGTGATGCATGACGGCAATAGAAAGGAGACAAAGTTCATAGTAGGTCTGCTACTACCCTGACATGTTATTGATCAACTTCATTAAGATCGAATAAGATCATATTTTTGCATATCCTATTAAAGCGCCGACTAAATATTTAACAGATTAGTTCAGAGTGTCTACTAGTTAATGTCTCTCACTCTCTTACCTTCTTTGTTTTTATATAAAATATGTGACAGGTAGCAAATAAATTTACATTATATAATGCATTTCATTATGGCAACAAATAATAAGTTGATGTGAATATATATCACATCAAAAATTGCATAAATTATTAAAGTTGTGTGAGTATATCAAAAAATCAATAAGACAGTAAGCTAGTTGATTCTGTAGTATTCTTAAACTAACAAACGTATTTTTGTTTGCTTTCTTTGCTGAATAGAAACCCGAAAAAGGTCGAATGCGTGTGCATCACATCAACAATTTGAACAAGGTTATGAAGGTTATCCAAGAGCATGGCGTCAAGTTGGTCAACATCTCCAGTGATGACATTGTGGGTGGTAATCCGAAGCTGACACTCGGCCTTATCTGGCTGATAGCACTCGAGTTCAATGGCCAGCATCTAGTCAAAAGCCATTCAAGCAATGGCGTTGAGAAGTCCCTGCTGGCCTGGGCAAGACAATATACCGAGCCGCACGGCCTGATGCTCAACGATTTTGCCAACTCTTGGGCGGATGGACGCGCCTTTCTGATGATATTGGCTGCTCATCTGGATGAACTGGATCTGGAGACGGCGTTGGCTCAGCATGCGCTGCAGCGTCTGCACTTGGCATTTGATTTGGCGCACAGGCATTTTAAGATCGAGAAACTACTGGATGCGGAAGATGTGCATACCCACAAGCCGGACAACAAGTCCATACAGATGTATGTGATGTGCCTGTACCATGCCATGGAATCGATGCGAGCCAACGAACGCGACCGAGTGCCCTGCACAAGCATCACTGATCTGGACGAGGTGCCCCTCGATGCCGCCGTCGATCGGGAGCTCTACACGTCGGACAGTGCGGCCAGCATGATGGAGCTGAAGCATGGAGTGGCGGAGTCAGCCTCGCTTCGACCACTGAGCACAGCCACGAATGCCAGTGTCGAGATTAGCAGCTATCAGACTGCGCTAGAGGCGGTGCTGACTTTGCTGCTGGAGGATGAGCAGTTGCTGTCACAGGATCTGCCGGATCCGGAGAATTTTCAAGCGGCCAAGCTGCAGTTTCATGAGAACGAGAGCTTTATGCTGAAGCTAACTGAGCATCAGGAGTTTGTGGGCGAGGCCCTCGAGGAGGGCAGCAATCTGATAAATGAGTCACAAAAGAAGGACGGCTCTGGTCTCTCTATGGACGACCAAAACGAGGTCCGTCAGCAGATGGTGCTGCTCAACGAACGCTGGGAAACGCTCCGACTGCGAGCCCTCGACATGCAGGCCAAGATTCTGATGCGACTGGCCGAGTTCCAGAAACAGAAACTCGAACAGCTGCGTCAGTTTCTGACAAACGTCGAGGATCGCATCTCGCACATGAGCGATCTCGGACCGACCGTAGCCGAAGCGGAACAGCAGCTGACCGAGGCACGCCAGCTGAAGGCGAATCTGTGTGAGCAACAGGAGCTGGTGGACAGCATCAGCAGCATGGTGGTCATTGTCAACGACACCTCCGGCAATTTCAATGATCTGGAGGATCGATTAAGTGCACTCGGCGAACGCTGGTCCCATGTCGTCAAGTGGATCGATTTGCGCACCGAAAAACTGCAGCAATACAAATGCATCTCCCGCTGGCTGGATGCCCGTGAAGAAGATCTGAAGCGAATGGAGACCCGCGATGTGACCGATGTCGGTGGCATAACGCAGCGCATCAATGAGCTGAACTATTGCGCCAAGGATTTGCTGGAATTGCAGCGCTATTTGATTGATTTGCGACAAATGGTGGCGGCCACGTTGCAGGATGGCGACGACAAGGGAGAACGGGTGCTGATGCAGCTGGAAAGCTACGAAGATCGCTTGGATGCCCTCAAGCAAATACTGGAGGTGCAAACGCGTCGCATCGAGACGAAAGGTTTCAACTTTGGACGCGAACGTGCTAGCTACGATGATAGTCGTGTGGTGCGACCCGAAAATTGGATCGACTATCAAATGATTATACGATTCGGTGAGGATGAGGAGAAGCAGGAGCACGAGGAACACGAGCAGGAGCAGCAGCAGCAGCAGAAACACCCAAAGTTGGACGCACAAGTTGATGCCGATCCGTTAGCTAGCAAGAAGCGTAAATTGCGCAATGCAGACAATTTTTTTGCTTTGGAATCGAAAATCGCGGATCACTTTTCGCATGTCCAGGATGTGGAACAGCAACTGCAGCAACTACAGCGTCAGAGTCTGCGCAACCAGTGCGACCTGCTCAAAGAGCTGCAAGCGGAGAATCAACAACGTGCCAGCTTGCTGCCCGAGCTCAAGAAACTGTACGAGGTGTGCGAGCAGGAGGAACCCAGTCGGAAGCTGCTACTGGAGGCGGCACACATCAAGCAGCTGGAGCAACGCTATGCAGCATTGGGTCAGCGTCTGGCCAGTCAACACAGCGAAAGCAGCACCCTGTTGGCCAAGGAGCGTTATTACAATAGCTTAATCGGTTTTAAGCTGGTCCTTGCCGACTCGCGGGACTGGTATAAGCAGCATGCGGGCAGTGCCAGTTGCCCGGAGCTGGAGCAGCGTCTGAGCCACATGGACTCGCTGGCCACAGAGATTGTCGAGGCGCGAGAGGCCACCGAGGCGCTGGACGAACAGCTGCTGGAGTGGAAGCTGGACTTTGGACTGTTCCACGATAGCTGGCACGACATGAAACAAGCCCTACAAGCGCTCATCCAGCAACGTGGTGGCGAGAGCATCATCCGGCAGGTGCAGCAGCTGGAGGAGTTCGTTGACAAGGTGGCCAGGCAGAAGGTGCGCGTCGCCAGCCTCGATGAGATGCAACAGCAGCAACAGTTGCTCAATCAACTGGTCGACGAATTGGAATCCCTGAAGCCCAGCTACGATCGGGTGCCGGACCACATGCTCAGCGCAGAGCTGCAGGCCGCCTGGCAGCGTCTGCCAGAGCAGCTGAGCGAGCGTGTCATCAAGCAGACCACCGCCATCGAGAACCTCAATCACTTTGTGGCCGAGTACAATTCGATAATTGCGGTGCTGCGCAGTGCGCCCGACATTATCCAGGCCCAGGATCTGCGCAAGCTGGAGATCGATGTGATAAGTGCAAGGAATTTTAGTGAGATTCTGATCAAGGAGGCGGAACAGCCGCAACGAGATTCGTTGCAGGCACAGATACGTGCACTAAATGCTCTTTACGAGCAGGTGGAGCAACTGTATCAGGCGCAGCGACAACAGCAGTCGGCGCTGCAAGCGCGCAGCGAGGCCATCCAGAAGCGACTCCAGGAAACGGAGCGCTGGCTCTGTGAACTAGAGGCGAATACGCCCAAGTCAGGCGTGGCCGCCATTCGCAATTCCAACGAACTCTTCCAGAGCAAATCCAAGTTCCAAACGCTCAAGGAAACCTGCGAACGGGAGGCGGCTCAGTTTCGCGAGCTCAATGAGCTGGGCGGTGAGCTGCTGCTGCAAATGGACGAGCTGCCGGAGAAGGGCAAGGACAAGGACTCCAAGTATGGTACTCTGGCCAAACAGTTCACGCGCCTCAATGCTCGCTGGACGGAGGTGACGGAGCTTGTGTACGCCAAGACAGCGTTGCTCGAGCACATCTCCACGCAGCTGGGCGAATTCAAGAAGTTCATGGTCAGCGAGACGGGTTATCTGGATCGACTGGAGAACAAGATACGCAACACGCCCGAGAATGCAGCCGATGCCGAGGAAATTATGGAAGAGCTGGATGTAAGTTCAAAACTGAATGTGTTCAATATTATGCCAAATGGTCCAAGCCTAAATTTAAGCTTGATCCTAAATAGATCAAATCAGTCCCTTTAGAAATGATAATAGCAAAATATATCCTATGAACTTATAATACATTTCTTATACAACCTCTTTAAACTATTTTAATTCTTCAGAAAATATATTATTTTATGTAAATCGAAATGACGCTTTAAGCGTTTTTTAGAAAACATAATATTTCGACTCCCAAAAATGAGCCGATGTCCCAGTTATATGCGATCATATCTTGGATTTTTTTTATATCTATATAGATATAATATATACATATATAATAATACACTCAACCTATTTTTAACTTTAACAATTTGCTATTTGATTAAAAATAATATTATAAATAAAAACGTGTTAAAGGTTTAATTAAATGTTCAATATTTTATGTTTGATTCTTGAATAGTTTGTTTTGATAAAACATAAATATTTAATAGTTGATTGCTATTCGATTAGAATAATGTCTTTTTTTTTTGTTGATGTTAAATAAATGTGTTTTGCGTCTTTTTTAAGGATCTGGAAAATGTGCTGCGCGCCCACTCCGACGAATGGTTGGACAAAATTCAAGAAATTGGCAATGAGCTAATTGACAATGAATTTATGGCCGATGTTATGCGTCAGGACATTGATAAAATGGTGGAGCGCTGGACGAAGCTGCAACAGCAGGCCAAGAAGCGAACCGAACTGCTCGAGGAGAAGGTGAGCGAGGCGGAGCAGTCCGAGAAAGCTGTCGTTCATCTGGAGGCCTGGCTAACGCGCATGGATGAGATACTCAGCGAGCATCTTGAAAACGATGTGACCATTGAGGATCTGCCCGATGATTTTCAGGCACGTATAAGCTAAATCAACATTAAATCGGTTGAACTGATCAGATTTAATTCTATAGATTTTGGCACGTGAATTCGCCGTAAATGAGCAAAACTTTAAGGATATTACCGAGCTGATTGCGGAACACACACGCAAGGGTAGAACTGGTGCCGCCAATCGTCTGCAGGAGCAGCTCAATTTAATGGAGTTGCGCTTTAAGGCCTGCCAGGCCAAGCTCAACAAATGCACCGCCCCCCAGCCAGCCTATGAATCGCGCCTGAATCGAGCCTATGGCGATCTACGCAACGTGGAACACTCCACATTGGTGTTGGATGTCGCCTCGGCGGGTCCCAGCACCGTTCAGGCCCAATATCAGAAGTGCTTGGTAAGCGTTCATTAAATTAAACTGTGAAGATTTAAGCTCTTGACAAATTCGATTATTTAGCAAATATATCGCACACTGTCCGAAATCAAGGCAGAAATTGAGAGCACTATTAAAACGGGTCGGCGTGTCTGCGAGGATAAATACACAAAGAGTCCCAAGCAGCTCAGTCAACGCATAGATGCCCTGAAGCATTTGTATAATGCCCTCGGCGAGAATGTCACCCAGTCGAAGGTCTTCCTCGAGGGTCTTCTCAAGCTTGCCAGGCAGCTGGAGCAGTGCTTCGATAGCGCTGATGAGTTGATCAGGCGTTTCGAGTCGCCACAGGAGCTGCACGATCGCAATTCCATACTGCTCGAGTTTGAGGATGTGCTCCAGCGTTGTGAGGAGCACTACAACGAGTATAGCAAGTCCTGTGATCAGAGCTGCATGCAGGAAACGCGCCAACGCATCGATGGCCTCAAGGCCTCCTACCACAAGCTGACCAGTGCGGATATTATCAAGCGCCTCACCGAAATGAAGACCACGCTACAGAACTTGGATAATATTTCGCTGGAAACTTTAAAGTTAGTAGAAGCAGTTAGTAGTTGTTATACAATTAGCGATTGACATGCTTCTATGAGAACTACACATGCCCTAGACCTCAATTTATAAATGTAGATACTTACAACTAATATACATAATATATCTAGGTAGTTTCTGTTAGTTTCATGGTATCTCAGCAATTTACAAATATATAATGAAATTGAAGAACTTTGCCAAGATATAGCTCTTAATACATACCTCTCGTAATTGACTCCATGAAGCTAAGAAAAAGCTAATTCACTGGTCAAAAAGGCGAGTAAAATAGTTACTACTTAAAGGCTTTTATGATGAACATATATATTTAGGAGCAAACATTCTTAGAACCATAAAACATTCACTAGTGCTCTTCAAAGAATGCATAAGAATGTGTCTGCCAGCTATCCGACTGTTATTTTATATGTTAATCAACTTAAAACATATGCTCATAACATATTTATATTATTCTTATCAGAATTGTGTGTAAAAACTAAAGTCTGCAATTATAATTAGCACGATGGCTTCATATATTCATATATATATTTGATACGAAATACAAATATTTATATACAAATATAAAAAATTTTAATAAATAGAACAGCGGGTCCTGACCAAATAACAGCTATATGAAGCCGAAATTTTGACCAAAACTATTTTTTAGCTTTGAGCTTTTCAATGTAAAACACAAAATCTTTTTTTTTCATCCAAGCATTTTTTGTTGGGATTTGAACACTACCACAAGCACGACAATAATTTATATTTTTAACTGTTACCATTTTTAATGTATTTGCTTATATTTTACAACTTGCACTCTTTGCAAAACATCTACTTTGATGAATTTCATAAATTTGCAACTTTAAATGAGTGATGGGCTGATATAGGCATCAGCATGTTTTACAATAGACCGAAATATTAAAATAAAATTAAAGAGGTATTTAGCTAGCATTTTTAAATGACTCATCATAAATTAAAAATGAAAACAGCAATAAGTCATTCGTAATGATAGACCACGAGCCAGCAAAATACCTATTAAAATTATAAATAAAGGCCGCGAAACAGAAAACAAAAAAACAAATAAAAAATATAGCGAATCGGATATTCTGAATCGAATCAGCGAGAAATAAACTTATTCCACTAAAGGCAGTCTTGGGTACTGGAGGTTTAAGTGAAATAAATCTGTTGTTTATTTCTGTTCAATTAATCGAATGTATTGATTTCCTATTGCAGAGCCATGGAGCATGACCTTAAGGAGATAAATGTACCATCAAATCCGGAAATTGAGAAATTGCAGCAACAAGTAATTGCGATTGTTGTGGTGCGTACAAAACGATTGCCAATATAAGAAACTCGTAATGCACTAATATTGGAAATGCTTTTAAGGATTCATCTATATATTTAAATATTTGTCTGCTTTCTGTCTATTTGTCTTTTAGTTTACAGTTTGCCTTAAAATTCGCTTCATCAACGTATTTCACTTCAAGCACTTTATTTCATTCACACATACAATTTTACTTTGTGGTCGTTGGTTCTTTGCCACTTTAACACCTTTGCACTTTCTTTCAATATTCGCACACACACACACACAACTACACACTCAAGCGAACAAGCTCGCACTATATTCTTTTATCGAAACTCTTCTTCCTGCTTGCACTCTCGAATTGATTCAAATTTTGAGCTGGCATTTTCTTTTCTGCTTCACCATCCTTTCAGGCAAGCAAAAAATCATTGAATTAGATTCGTAACGAACTGAATTGAGCGCAATTCTTGTTTCAAGCTTCACTTGCAAGTTTAATGTAAAAATTTAAAATGTTTGTTACTTAAAAATTCTTTAAAGAGAAATATCTAATGTTAAGCTTATTACTAATCATAAATTATTATGTTATTATACTTAATGTGTGATATAATCAAAAGGTGATTTGCCATACAATTTACATATATATGAGTAACGCTTATTTATTGTTTGTGTAAATTCATTATATTTTTTGTTTGCTATTTCATATACCACCCATTTAAATAAAAAAAGAAGAAAAAAACATTCATAATAATCTTTCCACCAAGCTAATCAAAAACCAATTCAAATACCAGATCAAATACCAAGAACCATCACCCAAAAAAAAAAAAAAAAACAACCACCACCATATACCAGAATCACCGTATCACTAGCTCTACGAGGTCTAACTTGGTGTCATTTTCACGCTTCAAATTTCAATTGTATACATATGGTATATATATGCAGATAAACATATATATAAATATATAATATATATATATATATATATATATATATGTAATATATATTTATATATTATATTTTATTTTTCGTTATTTGGAGCTCTTGTTACTGTCCCCTTAAGCATAAAAGGCGTTCAAATTGGTTGCGGCTGCGTCAAACGTAAATGTCCAATCAATACATTTCAGCAATATAAAAATAAATATAAAGCCAACATAAGTACACATTATAAGTACATAAGTATCTACTACTCCTTTCACCAACGCTAATGTACAGCAACTGCTTTTTTGGTCTCCATATATACTACTTATAAATACTCAAACCTATAACATATACCTAATACGGTAAGGCTTCATTGAAAAAACAAAAACAGTAGCTTGTAGAGCGAATTGTGAGAGAGTTATTAAACACTATGAAACTACGCATCCTTTGCACAGGATATGCTAAGAACACGCTTCAGCGCAACATCGACGCTTGCCACACAAGATAAGCCAAGAGCAAGCGATGACGATACGGAAATTGTTGTTGTTAGCGATACGGTGCGTCAAAGACGTGCACGGACGCCACAATCGGGTGAAAGCAGTACACCATCCACTCAAACAACAGCAACAACAACTACAACAACAACACGCAACGAAGCAAATACACAAAAGGGGACGGCGTCGGTGTCGGTGTCAGATTCCAAAACTAAGCCCACATCATCCGATGGCGAACAAGTGCTGCCCGATTTATTGCCACCGCAAACGTTTCGCCTGGCCGAGTCCAGTACGCTGTTCTCGCAGATATCGCTGAATCCGGCCAAGATGGTTGCTGGGGCATCTGCAATACCACCCGTGAAACCTGCGAAGAACAAACGCAAAGCGCCCGCAGCACCAGCACAGGTTGTGGAGATAAAGGTGAAAAACATTCAGAACGATAAAATGTCTGTGCAAAATATTGCGCTGGCACCGCAACAGGGAGAAATTGTGGATACCGTCAATATATTGGAGAGTGTGGAGCCGCTGCTGCCCGAATATGTACAAACGGTGCAGATTGTGGATCTGTCGGAAGACTCGGACTCCTCGCTGCTCGAGGTGCGACGCAGCAAGAGCAAACGTTCACTCTGCGAGTCGCCAGTAGGGTCCAAGGATCCCAGCCAGGAAACTGGCTCAGATAATGATGGGGATGAAGCAATGTTACGCCCCTCGGCGGGCAACACAAGCACTCCACTGCTGCGCGTGGAGAAGCAGCGCATATCCTTTGATGAGAAACGCAAACGCATCGCCCATGAGCGGGACATACTCCGCGATTCCGAGGAGGATGAGCCACCTCAGAGCGGTAGCTCTGTCGCCCAGTCAAATGTCGCCAAGCCGAAACGCTGGCGTCAACTGCAACCCGAATTACAGGAAGCGTCAAGTGTACTCCTCGATAAGCAGACGGAACCCGAATCACCCATTCGGAATAGTTTCTATAGCGCCGACAAGGAGACAGGTTTTGATATTGAACCGCTGGTATTCTCCGATGATGAGGAGATACCGCGTTTCTCGCTGGAAATGACACCAACCTTCGACTCCGATAGTGATACGGTAATTTGGTAGCGCTTTAGGCCATCATTTCAATATTGTTGCTACGCACGTTTTTTTCTTTTCTTTTTATAACTTTCGCAAAGCAGAGCCGGATTGAGACGCCCTCGACGAAGAAGCCGAACTCGTTTCTGAGTAAGGTGCTCAATTCGATGCCCTCGCCGCTAGACGACTCGAATGTGACCCTCAAGAGTCCGCCAGGAGAACTGCCGGCCAGCGCAAACTTGGAACAGCGAGTACAGGAATTCAATAAGTTATCCAAACAGATGATCTATAAACTCGAGGTGACCAAGGCCAAGATCGAGCAGTGCCATGAGAGCGAGGCGTAAGCATAGAAACTGAATTTTTCAATTACACTTTGTAATTCTCAATTATATTCTTGCAGAGAGGATCTCAGAATGCTAATCGCACCGGATGCAGCCACTCTGATCTCACAGGGTGATTCCCTAGTGCTCGAGACACATGGTAAACAAGGCAGCATTTCACGAATCGTCATGCGCACTCAGATCATTCTGCGCGAGAAGTTCCGCGAAGTTCAACAGGCCAAGTAAGAACTCCGCAGACTCAAAGTGATATTCTTTGCTAAACAGTTTTAACTTGTTATCAGATCAAAAGTGACAGGCACTTCTGCACCACAAGCGACGCCGGAGACCGTTAATATTGAGGAGCTTGTCACTAAGGGTTTACGTCGTATCAATGTGCTGATCGAGAAGCCCGTCGATCTCAAGTCCAGCACTGAGCTCGAAAAACGCATGGAGGACATCAACGTAAGTGTGACCAAACAAATTTCGCACTGGCATCTGGCCAACATTTATCAGCATCTGGCCACAAATGCACATTTAATTGGCCATGGCCAAACTGATTTGAATACTAATACCCCATATCCATAAAATGAGTTTAATAACGGGTATATCGGCATCAGTATTGCTGATCTGCAAATATAATAGCTATGTCTAAATAGAGAAAACACTTTTGAAAACCTCATTGTTTTTATATCTTAACCTCTAAACTTAGCCAAAAAAAAGAGTATGTTCTTTAAAAAACTGCTTGATAGAAACTTTCAGAAGAAAACATAATTTATACGAAATGCATTCTTAATTTTAGCATTTAAAATTGTTTCGCAAACTATATGCACATAATTGTAGGATATCTTATGGTCGGGAAATATCGACAAACGCATTTTTATTTTTGTTATTATAATCGGGTTCATGAATTTTCTTTTTGCGTACTAATTTAGATATCTTATTGAAATCGTCGGTTTTTATTTTTTGCTCTTATTCCATCCAACCAAGTTAATTGGCCTCTTGAGAATTCAGAGCATCGGCACAGGCCAAAATACTAAATGCCAACACTAGGAATACCCAAAATAAACCAAAAATTTTGACATAGTTACACAGTCGTCGTACGACAGCATTAACAGCATCTGTAACATCTATATATATATATATAAAAGCATATATGTATATATATATATATAGATATACATATATATATGTACATATATGTTGTTGCATTTCATGTGAGGGGAGCAACGAAATCGCTTTTGAGAAGAGAGCAACTTAAGAGACACTTTGCTATATTAAGTGAAACCAATAAAAAGTGAACGGCACTAGTTTTTAATTGTTTAGTTGGAGCAACACATCTATGTTTAATTTGTGAAGTGTCATGTTTTATTTAATAAGGAAACTTGTGATTCAAACATAATATGCATAAATAAGATATATGTAAATATTTGGATCACACAACATTTATATTTATATTTAACATCTTTCTATGCATATGCTTTATTACCGGTCTGTAAGATTTCTATACGTTTCAAAATGTGGAGAAAAAATGTATTTTCAATCTGCAATAGGTACATTTAAAATTGAGATTAATGCAAAAGTGTTTTCTCATAATTTTCATAAGTGGTAAAATACCGTTGTTTAAATATTTTTAATATTTTGATTGACAAAAGATGCAGTTTAAGGAAGTACATGTACCAATTAATTTGATGGAGGTACAATTTTCATAAGAAATTCAATACGAAAAATTATGTTGTAAACACTTTATTGCAGAGAAATTCGACTTTATTTTAGATCAGATTAAATTGTTTACTCATCAATTTGCCATATCAATGCTTTTATAGTTACCTGTTCCATCTTGTTTGTTTGATGGAAACTTCCAATTTGTATACCAAATATTATTTTGTATGTTTCAATTAATTTCCCAAAGTTTTCTCTTCTTAATGTGAGACAAAATGTCTGACAAATATTCTTAATTCACGCCACTATCTGAAATTAAATACAAATCTCCCATCTACACTTCGACAATTTGAAACCCTAGAGACATGCCCTAAAATTCATCATTAATCAAATCATTTCACTAGTTGTTTATTTTTGTTATTCGTTTTTCTTTTGTTTTTTTTTTTTTTGTTTTATGGCCCCACCGATGACAAAATAACAACAAAAAATCAGACAGAAAAGTGGGAAACCTATGATTTAAAAATAGAATAATGAAGAGAGTATCTTTAAGGCAAACGAAAGAGCGATCTTAAAAACATTATATTTGATTTTTAATTTTCCGCTCTTTGACGGCGGGGCTGCTTTTGTTTTCAGTCGATGCGCGTCTTATATACGCAACGGTTGCGTCGCTCGAAATTAATTTCGTTATTTAGTTTAAGTGATTGAAAAGTGCAGTGACGAATATTCGCTTGGCGCCAAAATTGTTTATCTCGTGGGCTCAATGCAGTTTTGCTGGTTGACACAATCTGCCAGTGTGGTATACATAGGACACACAAGACCCACAAGATTTGACGCACACACTCACACACACTGACCATCGATTCACGCAGGGGACATTTTTGCTCGATTGCAGTTGGAATTGAATTTCATTCGCCGCTGGCCATCCTAGCCATTTCGTTGGTGTGCGTGCATCGTTTCATTTTCCGCTTGAGCACATTCATTGTTAACAGCAGAAAGCAGCTGAACTTAACTAATATTTGAACATCTTGCAGGAACGCCGAGACGATCTGCAGGTGATTGTCGGCGCCATTGGCAAGAATCCCCAAATGCCAAAGGTGGCGCCCATCATGATGAATGAAATCGAAAAGGTTCGCCATGCATATTTGTCACCCGACCATTTCAATTAACTTTGGCCAATCAACACTCACTTTCACAAACATTTCAGACTAAAAACAATTTGATTGCTCACGCCGATTCGATTGAGCTCTCACTGACGCAACTCAAAAATGGCTCACAAATTGGCAACGGTAACGGAGCTGGCAGTAGCCGTCAGGGTAAGTGCTTTTCCCATTTCCCATTTCCCTTTGTTTTGTCATAAGTCTTACGAGCTTAGTTATGGTCCATTGTTATAGTTACGGTACAAGTTCTGGGTCAATGACTCATAGCGTTACGCCTCATTTGGAATAGCTCTGATCTGTTGAACGTTTAGTTTGAATTCATTAGCCGAGATGCCGAGAAAGGAATATGTAGTTTAATTGATAGGAAACAAATTGTTATTATTAAAAATTTATAAAAAGGGTATAATGGTTTCATGTGCAACTATGCAACAAGAAGCACCCTCTTAATCAGGATCAACAGACAAGTTGATATAGCCATGTCCGTCTTTTCGTTTCTATGAAAACTCAGATCTCAAAAACTACAAGAGCTAGAGAATATATATTCTCATATGTTTCAATTATACATATCGATTTGTACAATGTATTTTATACATCATTTTTTATGTTATTTATATCCATATTATTGATTAATTTAAATCAGCATAATTTTCATCAAAATAGCTTAACAAAACCGAGTCTCATGTACATCATATTCCTTTTCTTTTTTTTTTTATATACATATATAGCATTTATATTTTAAACATTAATCAACCTACTGAAAGGTTATAAAACATTAATTTGTCAAGGAACCAATAATGACAGTAGCTTAAAGTCTATAACATAAACATAAGAATGGGCTTAACACATAATACATAACATTAAATATAACATTTGTTGCTCATTAATTTAAACGTCCAAGAGTTCAGAGGTCGCTGGTGTGGAGACGCTTTAATCTGCGGCGTGTGGTATTTGAGGCAAGTGTGCAAGCCAAAGGGTTGACATGGTTATGTAACCGGTCATTGTAATGACTCGTATGTCGATGTATTTCTTGCATAATTGTTGGAAGGCCGAAGTCATTGTGCAGCGTCCTATTGCTGAAATAAGGTGGAGCACCAGCGATGTCCCTGAGCACCTTGTTCTGCAAAACTTGAATTTGGTTTACCCAAAATGTTGCAGCTGTGCCCCAAAATGAAATGCATGTGAAATGTCCAGGTGGGCACGAGAATTTATTGCTGTCAGCAATCGGAAACATTTTCTGCATAATGAGAGCACCATGTATGCTTAAATTTGAGTGTGCAAAAGATTTTGAAGTTAAACTTGATAATAGACTAGAATATTTGTAACTGTTGGATTCAGGGTATATCGTAATCAAGCCCGCTCGACTACAGCATTCATAGTTTTTTAGGTTCATGTTTTATAGGATATTCCTTACTCATGAACAAATCAAGTAAAATATTTCAAATACTTAGTGTATTTACATATGGATTTAGATTCCTTAATACACCAAAAGTGTTATGCAGGCCTTCAAATAAATAAAAATATTCTTATATGTATTTAAAAATATTTCCAAGTCGTTTGCTGTTTACTAAAAATGTACTTACTGGCTCAAATATATATTTGCCTACGAATATACATTTCCATACCTAGCATTTTCAATACTGTGCGTATCAAGTTATCGTTAGCCCAGATATACCAATGCTAAAATGTTCAATATATCCACTTCAACTGGCAGCTAAAAGCACTTGCGAATAAGCACGCACAATATCATAATTGTTTTTACCCAATTTCGTCTTTGAAGTTTTAAATTTCAAAAGTATTTTCATGCAGCTGGCCATTTTTGACTGCATTTCATTGCATTTCTTTCTACTCCTGTTCGCTCCGCTCATCTTTTTTTGATTTTATTGTTAAATATTTATGCCGGGCACTGTTTTGTAAAGGGCGGACAGCCAAATGCGTCGTGTCAATGGCACTTTTGACACTTCAGACACAGATGTGTGCACATGTATGTTTATGTTTTTATTTCGTTTCTTTTTTTATACTCTGATACCGAGGGTATCATAGTATATTGGTTTTGTGCAATGCCCGTCATGCTGTCTATCCGTCTTTAGGACCATATACTGGTCTGTGCACGCGTTCGAAAAAGTGTAAGAATTGGAATGCGACCTCCACAAGGAGGCTAGGAAATCGATAAAATCGATAAAAAAAAGCCACATATCCCACACAATTTTAAGGCAACAGTCACCAAACTTAGTTGGCAGGTTGTTGGCGATACACCTCTTAAGTGTAAATCGATAAAACAATATAGCTCAACCATTTAATGGATAGAGCCAACAAATTTGAAAGGTATATTGCTAGTATCCGAAAAAATGAAAATTACTAGGATCCCTTTCTAATTTTTTTTTCAGCCACACCTACTCCCGCTCCCAAAATTAACAAAAGCCCAAATCTAATCTACTTCAAGAGCCATAGTTAGCCTATACCTAGCGCAGTTTTAAAGGCAACTTGGACGGTAGGTTACTAACAATCTTCCACCCTGTTATGTGACACTTTGTGATCAGATGGTACTACTTATGGAATCAGAGTATTTTACAGTCGCTTACGCCCGACGACAACGTTCTCGATTGTTTTTGTGTCAACCTATTGCAATAGGAGCAGATACAATTCTGGTTTATTCTGGTTGAGTGCAAATTGCATCGGATAAATACATTTTTAAGTAGTATTTTATTTTGAACTTAAAGTTACTTAAAGAACTCATGAAATATCGATATTTTTTAATGGCAGCCATAATCTATTGATAAAATTTACCTCCGATACACATATATATGTATTGATTAAAACAAAAAGATATTCCAATTGTAATTTAAATAAATAGTGTGCATAGAAATAGAAAAGCGGGCAAGCAGACATACATATGTATATGAATATATGAAGACCTTATGGAATCAGAGCGAAGACAAATTGAATAATAAGACCCTCTGTAAATGAATCAAAATATTTCTAAGGAAATAAAATAAATCAGAAATATATTTTCTTATAAACAATGAATGCATTGCATTCGAGACGCAACGACGGTATCTTCAAATCGATTCAAGTCTCAATTTGAAAGTACTTGCGCTGCTTAGGGAATGCAATGCTAGCTTGAGAGTCGTTAACGTTTTGCTTAAGATTTGTTAGGTCTCTCAAACTTAAACGTCAGTGAAGATGAATTAGTTGACGAGATTTCTTTATGGTATTCGCATACTAATTACTCTATCGCTTCTATGGATTCCATTCACTTTTATATAATTTTCAATATCCTTTAGAGACTTTTTATAGTTGCAATCCACCCAATCTGTGATGAATGAATGAATTGGTGCTGGCATTATCACTTCACTCATTTTCTTGCCGTTCTTGGCAATGCTAAATTCGGCACTATCGAAACTCCGCCTGCGTTCTTGGAAGCTCAGTTTTGGCGAAGTGCTGTCAACTTTGGCCTTTAATAAAGAATGTCTGCTTACTGGGGGACTGATTATAATTACTCTTTTAATACGTTTCACCACTGTTTGGGAAGTAAACGAGTTCAAATGCTTCAGCAAGTGGAGTGGGTTTAATACTATCTTCTTTTTAGGACGTGGGGTGTCAAATGACAAAGTGTCGTAAGCGAAGCTGTCAATCGAAGCAACGCTTCGCTTTTTGTCCTTAAATAAGATACTCGAATTTTGACCTTGCCAATTGCAGATACCTTCTTGCACTTGATTTGCGTTTACGCTGGTACGCATATCACTAAGACGCTTTCGGAGAATATCTGAATCCACGGGTTTATAAGCACGTGGATATGGGGTGTTAACCCTATCGTCAATACGCATTAGGCCATAGTCCCGATCAGTCGAATCTGTCGGATCCAAATTTCTGAACCTAAGTCTCTCTTTTAATTTTCTTTTGGTGGCTTGCAGTGAATCCTGTGATCCTTGAGACTCGAGCATTGCAGTAAACACGTTGAGAAGCAGCAGCAAACAGTAAATGCATAAAAATGAAAAAAATACGTTTTTTTGTTTTTGGTTTTTGTCTTAACATTAACTGGGAACTGTTTTCAAACAAAATTTGTAATATCAAATTTGTAACGGCTACTTTGTTCAAAATGAGCAGATATTGATATTGATATATAACAAAATGCTGAAATATTTGATTTTATTTACTTATTTCATTTATTTAATGTGGATGTTGACATTTATAAAAAAGAAATAAATTTAAAAAAATTAAAATTGCAAATTAATTTAATTAAAATTAAAAAGTAGTATTCACATTAATCCATTCAAAATGAAGAAAAATTAAAATAAAATATAGGAAATAATAACTCCTATTAGAAAACGTTAATTGTTCATATTTATATATATAATATATTAATATGTATATATATATATTTTAACAAAATATTTGGGAAGAGTATAAGCTCGGGGGGGGGGGGGGGGGGGGCTGGATGGGCATGTCAAAAATATATTGATATTTATTCTTATGTGTGTGTGCTCGTACTTACATAAAGGTGATAGATTCAGACACTCGCTTTTTATACGTTGCCAAATAGTAACACTTTCTATTCTGTATGTGCAACTTTTGTCTGCACTGCTTGCCACGCCAGCGAAGCACTGTTTGCCACGCCAGCGAAGCACTGCTTCATTCTGCTTCATTCTGCTCATTGCTGCGTAACTCTGACCGTACGTTAGACTGCTCTGCAAAAGAAAGAGATTTTCCAAATATTTACATAGAACCAAGTTCTTCATGAATATTTATACATTTATTATGTTTATGAGTTGCCAGTTAGTCTGTGGTTGTTCAGATCGCAAAATTAGAAATGCTTTTGCAACGATGTGCAAATAATGGATGAAACTTATCACAAATTTACAATCAATTTTGAATAGTTTTTTTTTCCTTAATTTTTGCGCATAGTACTCCCATTTTGCGAGTAAGTTGCTGAATTGAGTACTTGGAGTGACTAAAATTTATACAATATGCAATTGGTTAACAAACGAGTTTTTAATTGAGTTAGTTTCGCTTTTTAAATATCCACATTAGCTTTGAGCCGATCTTTTGATTCTGTTCTGTGCCGTACAGGGAGCTTCAACTTGGTCGTACCGGCCAGAGAAGCGGCATGGCTACTCTTTCGAATATGATGTTGAATAAACATTTCAATTTTCTCTTTTGCATTTTGATCAGCTTGTGACAGGTCTTCATTTCTTATTGGGTCAATGTTGGCTGACATGATTTGTTCGCTCATCCTCTTGCCATTTTTGGCAATGGTGAACTCGGCCTCATGGAATAATTGCCTACGTTTGTGAAAGCTAAGCATCAGGTCGCTGCCCATCCGGCCATCATTATCTAGTTGTAGGGAGGGATCGGAGGAACTCTGGCTTTTTCTGGGACTGATTAGAGTGACCTTCTTCTGTTTATGCTTGGGCTTATTGCCAGTGAATCCCCTTCGCAGACTGCTGTTAGGCAATTGTGAATGTTTCAGTGAGCAGGCTGACTGACTTTCGGTTGATCTCTCAATGACTCGAAATTGATTGCGATTGGCTTGGTCCGCTTCACTGATTTGTTTTCTGAGTAGCTTAGGGTTGACGGCATAGCCTTTCGCAGGATGGGGAGTGCCTTGGGGTAATTTTTCTGGATACTGCGGGCGGCCTGGCCTGAATTCGCTTTTGAATATAAACCTGTCAGATTCGAGCTCGTTGTATTTCATCTCGCTCTTTCGCACCTCTTCGACTCGTAGCCTAAGCGTTTGAGAATCAACTCCTTTGAATGGACGTGGATATGGAGTCGATATCTTGTCTTGGACTATTCGCATTAGTCCGTAATCCCGATTTTCCAATGAAATTTGCTTAGGTGATCTTATCTTTGCTGGCGCCATTTTTTTTTTTTTTTTTTTTTTTGCCAAATATAACCGATTGTTAGTTGGAGTTCGCTATGTAAATCGTAGTTTTATTTTTTCTCTGAATATGTTTGAGTGTTGTTTGCTGTGCTGAGTGCAGATCTGTTTTGAAATTATATTTATTTTCACAACATACTCGCCTCAGAGTGACACTGCTTGCTAGGCATATACAGCACTGCTTGAATTTCGCATTGGCTTTTAAAGAGCTAAAAAAGCTAGTTGCTGCATAACAACAGTTTTTGTGGTTTGACACCAAATCACAACTAAAAGCGCACTTGGAGCTTGCGAGCTTTTGTCGAAACTTTTATTGTTGATTAGCTTCAGCAATTGCCAAACAGCTGTTAAGGACTCCGGGAAGACATTTCAAATTAACACGTTCAGCGGTAAGGAAGTAAAAGGATTATTAATACCTGAATACAGCTTAATTATGTTGACAAACAATTCAAAAAATAAATGAATAATCAAATGTGTGTAATGAATGTAGTAAAATTCAAAATACGGTGTGTGAGCGAAAGGCAGACAAATTTAATGAGCACTCCAAAATCAAAATGTTTTGAAACTCAAATGTGAAGTACCTTTTCTTTTAGACTCGAAATGTATAATATAACGAACAACGTGTTGAATTCAAGTTTCATTGACTTTTTTATTATTGATAAATGTGTAAATGGATTTGTCTTAAGTTATAAAATGTTTGTCAAATGACATGTAAGATGAAAATGGAATAAAAAAACTAGTTCGATGGTAAAGTGTTAAGGAAAATGTATTAAATTGTGTAAGGTTGAAGGTTCAATACAATAATACGATATCCACAATCTGTTTATCAAGACTTCCTTTACGTTACTTTTTCGAAAGCTTTGTATAACGTGAGTAAAATAATTGAAGTGAGTTGAGGGGCAACTGTTTCTATTATTTGTGTATCATTGATATTAATGTGCTCAACAGTGGGACCACCTATTTTAAGGTATAAAAGAAGAATAATAAGTAGAAGCGCTGAGTGACGTTGTGAAGCAGCAGCCCGACAAGTGGAAATATCACGCTTTTTCTGGTTTGTAATGAATTATGGCATTTTGTTTGTGCGAGCGTTGACGTTAGCTTTATCGGGCAGCTTCCTTTGCCAATTCTGACGCTTCTCACACATATATTTTTCCTCTTCCTTTTTTAATGATTTTTATTTTTTTTTTTGAAGAATTTTGCACCTGCCAGGGGCCGACGGTTGTCGCACAAAAGACAATAAATGGGCTGGCACAATACAAGCGTCAAAATGGATGAAAAGAAAATTTTGCACTTAACGCGTTTTTCCTCTCCAGCTACTTCAGTATGTGTTTCTAAGGCTTGTTACATGGTTGTTTTTGTTTCTCGCTTTTCCATATATTTGTTTAGCCACCTCTTGTGTGATGTGCCTCTCATGAATTTCATTTTAAATGCTTTCAGACACGTGGTATTCTTTCAGTCATTCATTCATTCATTTATTCAACATAGACATGACTAGTAAAGGCCTGCCTGCGAACCTGTTCTTATTTCCCGTTGGTTGGGTAGCCCGTCCCAAATCCCTTCACGCAAATAGGGGCTCTAATCCTGCGTGTTGGGGCCTGGGCCAAAAGCAAAAACAAAGTTGATGGTCGCGACTTAGCTGCTGGACACAGACACAGACACAGAGACAGACACATACACAGACTTACATAGTTATTGGGTTTGTTTTCACGGCTTATGTGGAACTCAAGCACCAAAACTTTCATAAATTTTTGCACTACCTCTTTAGGCTTACGAAACTTGCCCAAGGCTTTTCTTTCATTTCTTTGCACTAAGTATTTCAAGTGTTTCCTTTGCCGTTTTCCCTTGCATTGAAATATTTGCGACCAGTTCTGGTTTTCAATTGAAAGTTGCCATTTAGGGTGGATCCCAGAATGCGAAATAAGTAAAATAATATTATTATGTGCATTGCTGAGTGTCGCATGCCGTAAAGCAGACAAGGACTCAGTCTTTATCACAAGGCAAGTGCCTTTAAATCGAACCGCATCTCGTACATTGCTCTACACTTGCATTTGCACTTCAAAATGTGCTTGTAATATTCAAATAGATAGATATTTAAATTTGCCTTTACTTATTATTTTTTTTTTTTTTTTTAAACAAATATTTTACTTATTGTTTTCTGAATTTCAGATGTGAATTTTTCTAAAAAATAATAAGCATTGACAGTTACTATTGATAGTTTCAGACCTTGATAAAGCTGTGCTCGTTATTTTAAAGCAATTTATTTGAATAATAATTCATTTTTTATTGTTGTACAATTATGGTTATGCAGCTATTTATTGCTCTGCTACGTAGATCGTTCTGCACCACTGTATTAGAGCTACTGCAAACGTAGCGCAATAAAGCTACTTGAAAGTTTGCTTCATTGAAATAGTTTTTCATTTACTCAGCTTTTTTTATGCGCTGCGAGACAGGCATTTGAAATGGCCGCCAGACTGAACTGGCAGGCAGGCAATCAAAGGCGCAACATGAAAGTGAGCCATTCAAATATGGCACACTGGACCAACTGGCCGACTGAATGTTGGCCATTTTAACCGCAATTGGCCGGCATAAAACCGCAGCTGCTGCTGCTTGTTATAAAGGGGCGAGCATTTGTGACAGAGCATCAGAGACACACCTAATTAACGCATTTTTTCATTTAACTTGGAATTCCCTTTTGCTTTTTCCAATTGCAGATTACAACAACGAACCAAGCGGCATTGGTGCTCTGGCCAGCAGTTTCGATAAGTCCGTTCTGCACATTTCCGACTGGCTGACTTGGGAACAAAACATGATCAAGATACAGAGCGTTCTCGTTGATGATGTGGACGCGGTGCGTTCGGACATCGAAGCACAGGAGGTGGGTGGCCCAACCAGCAGGATGGAGTGACCAATGTTTTTACTTTATTCTTGTCTTTTATTTTTTTTCGATTCACAGAAAGTTTTGCGTGAATTGAAAATGAAAAAACCGCAACTCAATGAACTGGTGCACACAGCGGAAGTGCTGAAGGGCGATACTAAACGTCAGCAACTGCAGGAGAAAGGTAGGCTCTTTAAACATTTAATTCACTTAGTTTTATAGGCATTTTATTTTATCCAAAGTGCTTGAGAATTGGTGATTCAATGATTAAGTCAAGCAATGAAATGTAGAAAACAAATTCCAAGTGATTTATATCCTTTTTGACATACATATGTTTCAAATACTTTCGTTTTGCTGTGCAAAGTGAATAATGGGCTTAGATTGGATCTTTTTTTCTTCTTCTAAAAAGTTTGAGGTCATTTTGTAACTATTATTAAAATGCAAGTATTCGAGATTTTTAAATCTGAATTTCCAATTGAAGGAGAAACTGTTTAATTTGAGGGGTTTCCATATCAAGTCAAATTTTTTCTATTCATCAAAGGTTTCGCTTTGCAAATTGAAAAAAATTATTTATTTTGGTTCTTTTTTGTTCTCCAAAATAGTTTAAGGCAATCTTTGTATATCATCGAATTTAAGATTAAATTGAAAGCTGCTGAAGCGAAATCGAAACCTCAATTGCCAAATGCAGGAGGAATCCTTTAAGGGAACATATGTGAACGTTTTCTAATTGATCGAACAAATTGGCCATTTGATGGCATATGGAAATTTCATTAGGCCTTTTCGTTGCTGTCGGTTAAATGCCATTATGAATTACGATTCTGATTGCATTCCACCCACGACATTGGCTAGATAGTAAGTCCATTTCGCATTTCCCTTAACGAGTCCCGTGCAAACAAATTTCCGGACCGAAATACACAGACACACACACGCACACATACACACGGTCCGAGCCAAGCGAGAAATTCAGTTAAAATAGGAAAACACACGAGCTCCACTTGAAACTGCCAACTCATTCGGGGCACTTGCCTCTTTAACTGACCCGAGCGAGTGCTGCCATCGGTGGCTGTGTAGTACTGCAAACATTTACATACCGAGGCCGTGAACCGTCTGACACTTGGTTGTATTCCTGTAGCATCTCCCCCGTGTTGGACTGGCTGCTGCAGAATAGACAAACAAAAATTAATGAAACAAATTGAGCACTTACAGATACCCTGGAATCGTATACCCTCAATGTACTTCATTTTTTATTTATGTATTTATAAGATTATGACTTATTAACTAGTGCTGACCTACGAATTCAACTCGAGTTGATCATTAAACTAGATTATTAACTCAAGTTATTTATCGTTAAGGACAGACGCAAGGCTTCTGGTTTCTTGCGGATGAATTGTATTGCAGTGTGGGTTGAGTGTGAAGCACTTGTGATTAAACTCTTTTCATTTAGTTAACTTATTGTCCTTGTGCTTTTTTATAACCACATTTTTTTTTTTTTTTTTTTTTTTTATCTATGTTATAATGGCGCCAAAAGAAAGTGCTACTAGAAAAGATGAAAGATGAATTCATGAACTTTTCTTCGCATGTTTGAAGTGTTATTTTTTCATTTAATAGAATCTCTTGAAGAGTAATTTGCAATAAGTCTAGACAAATTTAGTAACAAAACATTTAAAATAACCAAGGTCTCCAGGAAATGACCGCTCCAAATGTATTAGTGGTTTTCGCATGGGCTATCAAAATGATTAAAAATGCGCTTATCATATTTTCTGGTACAGCTTCAAAAATGTTGTGAACCGTACTCAATTTCGTCGTTGAGGCAGTTGTTTGGTTGCATCGTCTTGCGATGCGCACAAACTGATTATGATGAGATTAACGTTTTGAAATGATTAACTAAATTGTATATATTTTACTTTGCTTATTGATGCATTCCATGTTCACAAAATTAAAATTTGAAAGCGGTCAGAATTAATCCGGTTTGAAAACACCGGCGGTTAGGCAGTACTGAATATGAATACAATATTATATATCTTACGCTTACGGCATATATCATAAATTGTAAAGCGAAAATGATTCAGTTTTACTTTTTGATAATGTTTTAGGTATGATAAACAATATATTTAGAAGCCCTTTTAAGAAAATAAACGGTTTTTACTAATAAATTTATTAGTTTATTAGAAAGACTCGACAACACTGTTTTCAAAGGGTATTCAAAGGCGGAAAAGCCCAGAACTGTCAAATGGCAATGAAAGACAAAAGCAAAGTTCAAAATAAATAGCAAACAATCACACACACACAAATACACATGTGAATCCTTAGTCAAGTGTGAAACTTGAGAGTGCATAAAATGCCGTGCACAATAAATCGGAATCAGGCATTTTTCTGGTCATGCGTTGCACTTCGGTGGTGAATATGCTCCACGGTTTGACAGCCACTGACGAAGAGCACAGATGTTGTCCCAAAGAGAGTGCAAATGTTCATTGCATGCCTCAAGGCGCATGCTCAAAAGAGAAATTCACACATCCACGCACACACACACATACACACACATGCATCTATGTGGGAATGTACTTAAGTATGTATATTTAGTGTATTTTTTGCATTTCGTTCATTTGGCTCTCGGTGGAATTTTAATGTGGCAGCAAGCAGCCAACATTTCTGCCAGTTGACATTTAATTGACAAGTGGAGCGGGCGAGCGGAGAAGCGCTGAAGTGAAACATTTTTATGCCCCTTGCATGTCCCTATTGCTGTTCTTTGTTGTTGTTGATGTTGTTGCTTGCAGTTTGTTGGAGCTTACATAGTTTTGTATTTTATGTTATTGTGTTGTGTGTTGGCTCTGGGGGGATTGGCCTGCAGTTGTTTGCTTGCATTGCTTGTGTGCTGTTGCATATTATGATGATGTTTGGTTTGTCATAAACATTTGTAACCGTCGACCACGTACATAACGGAATCCTTGTTGCTACAGCCCCTCCACTTGCAACCAGCAACAAGCTACACCGTCTGCCACATACCACTGATATCTTGGAAATGACTTTGTTGTGGTTCTCATTGGTTCCTCAGTTCAAGGGGTCAGATTTCTGGTTCTAGTTTAGTTTTTACTCCTTAGAGAAGGTTCTCGTTTGTTCAGTAATTTATTGCTGTAATTTATAATGACATTAATAAAAATAAAAAATTAAGAATGTAATAGTTTTTGGGAATAACTGAACTGTATTATATGTAGTTACATAATTTCTAAATATATTTATTTCTTTTTCTTAAAGACACCTTTAAAATGGTGGCCTAGAATTATGAATTATTATTACTTAAATATGGTTTCTAAAATTTAAATTCAATAGGTTACTTTTAATTGTTTGATGACACAACATAATTGCTGTCATCTACACCAAAATGCTAAACTGCTGGGTCAAGGATATAATGATGTGATATAAATATGTACTTTTAAATGTTGTTTCTTTTATTTATATTATTTAAAAAAAAAACATTACAAATGCGAGGCAATTAGTTTTAAATGGAGATTCCCCTTGAAATTGCAGTCTGTAAATTATAGATACGTTTTTCGCATATATCGAATATTCTTTGTTCAAACTAAGTTACCTTTATAATTTTAAATCGAACTTTAAGCTATTTGTCAAATTGAAGAAACAATTGGGCAATAGGCCAACTAAGTGTAGCCGAGCAATAAAATTGGTCAAGGCACAAAATAATTGCTTTTGAACTGAAAATCCATATATTGTCCAATCAATTGATAGGAGACCTGCCAGCTGGACCCCATCTCTCTCTCTCCCTCTCTCGTTGTCTCTCTGGTCGCCGCTTCTTATCTCGGACCAAACGAACTGCACACAAAATCAATTAATTGCGCATTTTGTAAGCTGACGCTTAATTAAACCATTATTTATTATCTCATATGGCTCGATGGCGTGTCATGAGGCGCGGCCAGACAAAAAGTTTTGCCATCCCGTGTGACCCAACGCACCTACGAGCTGTGTGTGTTATCATAAATAAAATGCCTACAGTGGAGAGAGATAGCTCCCAAGCCCAGGCCAGAGTGTGGAGTAAAGCAAAGCAAAGCAAAACCGAAACCAAAACCAAAACAGGGCAATGTGTGGTCTCCTCGTAAATCTGTCTTTGACATGCAATTTTAGTGCAGCGGCTGTTGCTGCAGCTTGTGCTCCGCCAGCCAAACAATAACAACAACAGCAAGTGCAATAACAATGCACATTCTGCCAAAGGACAACGCACTCGGCCAGCCACCGGGTAAGGCATAGTCCCGTCCCCCTTCCCATTCCCATTTCCATCCCCGTCCCAGTCCCAGTGTGTGGTCCCCAGGCAGGGGTAGGAAAATGGAGCTACCAAATTGCCTCTAATTGTCGTCTTTCTCTTGGCGACGCTTTCGAAAGCTGCAGCCACTCTTCCAGTGCCCAGTTACACGCCCTCTTCACGCCATTACATGCTTTAATAGGCCTACCATGTACTCCCCTCTGATGGCCTCTGTGCCCTGTTAAACCAACCAACCAACTGACTGGGTGTCTGTCTGACTGACTAGCGCTTCCTGGCATGTGTCTGCGCTTTCAAGAACTTTTTCGCTTTGATTGCCGTCCCCGCAGGGCATTATGACTTGCTGATGAAACATGCATAATTTGGTTAGTCTGATCAATATTCGTTAAATAATAGACAACCCTTCGAGGGCTCTGCTTTCCTTTGATTCATCAAAACCTGCCTAAGTTCGGCTTATTGTAATTGTATTTGAATTTTCCTTATTCACTAAAGGACTAAGGCAATGCCACAGAAACACTAAGACTAATTACTATTCTTAATCTAATAATATTTTCAATGCTAACTTAATACGAGTATGCGGAATATAACCGACCTTTTTTTATAAATTTTGTGTGAATTGATAGTTCATTATTCAAATCAAACCATTTCTAATCAGAAAATGGAGCATTTTTCTGAAGCAGTTATTTTTTAAAACCCTTTTAAAAACTGTCTTTTAGTCCACATTAAATATGTAAATAAAAACAGTTTCTAGAGAATCACTACACATACAGGTTATTACTTTTTGGATAAGTCTCGTAAAATATAAAATATAAAATATATTAAAAACCGGTTTGATACGGATCGTGAATCGATTGAGTTGTGTTGCAAATACCTTATTAAGGTAAAATAATTGTAATAATTTTAATTGCGTTTTAAGT